TTCTGATTGGCTGCCCTGTACTGTGCCTTGGTCAAAAGCAAGCCAAACCTAAGACAATTCTTATAGTTATAGTTGAAAGAAGGGGGCGGGGCTAGACCACAATAGGCTGAATAGATGCTTATGCAGCTGTGCAAAAGTTTGGGCACACAGTCCAAGTTTAAGTGTAAATAATGTGACACATCCTCTACAGAGAACATACTTCCGTACATTTTAATACACAATTACTGTTTATTTACTGAATTTAATTTACTGAAAGAAAAAATGCATAAAATGTGATGTGAAAAATTAATGGCACATTTCATATTGTATGTTTTTTTTAAGTTAAACTCAGCAAATAAATTGAAACTGTGCACCAAAATTAGCAGAAAGTGTCATATTTAGGTGTGCTTTCTGTAGAAGCCAACCAAATTCATTTGCCAGGGGTGTTGCAACTTCTGCATGTGACTGTATCACATCACAGAGACAGCGAATTCAAAAACAGGCTGGTAGGTTTTAAATTCAAGCTGCAGAAACAAGCTATTTGAATTGTTTTGGTCACTGCGCCTTTAAGGCGTGTATGTAAATGAGGTCCGTTCTGATTGGCTGCCCTATATTGTGCCTCATTCAAAAAGTCCAAGCTGTAACACTTCAGCGTGAGTGGGTGGGGCTAGACATGTTTCGTTAGTTAAATTTTTGCAGCTTGCAGCAAAGTGAGTAAAGTTTAGAAACTTAAACAGTGCGTACGTACCAAATAAAACCCCTGTGTTTTCCATGATATGGGCCCTTTAATAAGTAGCACTGCAAGGAAAGCCACTAGCCCCAGCCAGTAGCCCCCTGCTTAACCCTCTATTGCACGATGTTGCCTCAGGGCAACAAACTCATTTTCCTCACTTTACAATAACTTTACACATATTTAAAGACAACGATAGGATTCATAATTAAGGGAAGAGTTTGAGTAAGTCAATAAAAAGCATGTATTTGGTCCTATTGTCTCTTAGTGGGTACTTTTAAACCTCTTTTTTTAATATATGATTTTTTTTTGTTATGAGAATTTGTAGAAATGTATTTGTTGCCTAGAAGCAACATTGCTTGACAGTGGAATGGATTTGACCAGTCACAAGCCAGGTCCCACCACCTCAGGGAACACGGCTCTATATCATTTCTTTCCATTTTCACAGTGTTGCCTCAAGGCAACATACTCTAAATGGACCCCTTATTTTTTTTTTAGTGTTTTTGAATTTAATAATCAGGTCTGAAAAAATAAATCAAGGACCATTTTATGCAAGATGTTTATGCCCTCATGAAGTGTGCGGTAGAGGGTTAAGGTGTCCCAGGCAGGGCTACACTAACACTCTGCTTCCTTAGATAAACAGTTCCTTTTCAATCACCGCAAATTGCTCGTGGCCGCACTGTGGCTTTAAGTGCTTTACGACGAGGGGCAGCGCGGCGCTGAACGCGCCGTCAGAACGGCAGGATTACTGTCACGAACCTTGGCTGTTTGCTTAACCTCTTCACCCGCCCTCCAGCAGGGGTCATCGACGCAGATACGCCCCTGTCGTTAGCCCAATTAGTTCACGAGTCATCAGGCATGCCAAAGGTCACCCTAACGACTCCACGGTGGCACTCGGGGGGCGGTGGGGGGGGGCGTGTCTAGGGCCTGAATGCAGGTACAACTAAGTATTGTTTACTTTGGGCAGTGTGATTTTTTGGCAATAAATCAAAAGAGAGAAATGTTTCTGTTTCTTTTTCAAAATTTCTGCATAAATCTGCATCAAAGCTGAGATGTAAACAAAGTCGAGAGTGGTTTGATGTGTCTTTACAGTGGTGGTGATAGGAACCAGGGGTCGCCATGACTGCAGTACAAATACAGAAATTTTATATGGTAAAATTTAAAACTAGTTTTTTTTTTTTTGAGGGACTATTTTTTCCTCACAACACCCTGCACGTATCCCTCCACCATCAATGGATTTTTATAATATCTTTTAGATCATAATCTTCTCAAAACTATCATAAACAGTGTCTCAAACTTTGGGCGATGTATTCACAACTATTTCTTTTCTAACTTGCTACTTTTAGAGGTGGACGTCTGGTTCCCATCACCACCACTGTGAACAATTCTGACTCTCTAGAATGAGGCGTTTCACACCAAACCACTCTGAATGACTCTGTATGTGTACGTCATTCCCGTTTAATTAAGCCGTTCTCTCAATATTATTGTGTTTTGACACCATTAAGATGCCAATTATGATGCTGGCAGTCAGAGTTAACGTCTCAGCTCTGTTAATAGTCTGTTTTCACAAAAGTAGCTCAGCACTAACATCTCAAATACTGCCAAAAGCAACAACACCAGGCCTGGACTGATGAAAACTGAAGCCCCCTGAGCTCTAGCATGTGCAGTCCTGCCATTCGCTCATATATTTGGCAACAAACACACATAAATCAGTCAGCGTAGATGAGCTGTGTCAAGAGGATTATACTGTTTTCCTGCTCTCATTGCCATCTGCAGGTCTTCGCTTCATTCTCAGTGTGATTGACTTAATTACTGATGCTTGCAAAGTGAAAAATGCTACTTACAGTAACATTATTAATGTGTAATGTTAGTATTAGCATGAATGCAAAAGTAGAAAAGTAGAAATTAAAAGAAGAAAACTGCAGAAATCTCAAGAACATTTGAACCACAAAGAGCAAACAAACTATTACAACTTTCTGAAGAATTTTAAAAACTGAATTGTAAATACATGTCTGTTTACAAATAGTGCTAAATGTAGGTACCTCAGCGTTTTTTTTTTTTTTAATGGCATAATTATGAATAAACAACGGTATAATTGTCATCTGAGCCAGTATATTTATTTTCAATTTTCTTTAATTACGTTTAAATTTATTGTTGCTGTCGGGACGAACCTTGTCTATCTATTTTTATTGTTTTTTATTTTTTTATATTTTTAAAAATATATTTTTAATTTGTTAAATACCTGTTAAAATCTTCTTTCATTAACTTCCATTCAACGTGACGAATGTTTTTTCCTTCTCCTTTAAAGTTAGATGACGTGAGGTTCTGTCCCGACAGAGACGTTATAATAATCAGGGCAAAATGAACACCAGACCGAAAATGTATAAAACACTATTGTTTGTAAAATATGACACGTTGCTTGTTTATTTATAGAAGAAACAAAGCTGAGTTACTGCAGGTTCAGCCTGTTTATTTACCTTAAGTCTAACTGAGCTGCTACACTGCGACCTGAGTGTTCCATTCAAAAATAGGCTGGTACAGTTTGATGTTTAAAGCACATAAACGAAGGAAAAAATGGGAAAAGTTCTTATAAATCCTGTCGAAATTAACGTTGAAAAAATAAAGACAGAAAATTTTGAATTTACTTTATAAACCGTCATAAAGATTTATCATCATTGATTCCTGCTTCAGTGTTTAGGCTTATAATAGCTTTTCTATTAAAATGCAGGGTGGAAAGAAGTAAAAAAAAGTAAAAATATTTGCTTGCTTGTTGAGGTTATATATAAATATCTATCCATAAATATATATAGTCTCCCAAAAAAGAGACTAAACACACTCTCACCTTTCAGTGTACGTTAATGTAAAGAATTTATTCAATGTAAATTGTATTCCAGGTGATTTTACAGCATTTCTATTGGTCCATTCAGAATGAAGTTTTCACCCAAGGTAAAGGACAGCTGGTGTGTTATGTAGAAAACTAAAAATCGATAAAATATATACACATATGTTTACCAGTGACCTGTGTTACATACTGCATGTTTTGTTATGGTTGCAGGAAAATGAATTACTATTAGTCAAGCATGTTTACATGATGGAATCCATGACAGCCCAGCTACAATTTAAACTACCTATGTTTATAAGATGGAAACCTGTGACTGTTTACCGCAGGTTTTTTTTGAGTATGTGTGTATGTGTGTTTGGAGGTATAGAATGTAGAGATGTATACGTGTTCATGTTCTGTCCCTGCAATATGTATGTTAAGTGAAGCCCCAAGTGTGAATTTGTTTTATGTTAAATGCCTGTCAACATGTGTTAATGGCAGTAAAATTATACACATACACACACACACATATATATATATATATATATATATATATATATATATATATATATATATATATATGTATATATATACACACACACACACACACATGCATTCCAGACTGACCAGCGATTAAAATGTTCAGTGTACTATAATTTTAGAGCCCAGTTTCTATTGCTGAATTGAACATATTGGAAAAAATAAAACAAAACATACTAAATGTGCCATAACTTTTGTACATAATTCAGCAAGTAAACATTAATCCTACATTCAATTGTGCACTTATTTTCACTTATTTCAGAAATCAAAATTTTAAGTTTTTCACAAAATAACATCAAATTTAGTGTTTTGCTGAGACATTTTGATGATATTTCATTTTCCTGATATGTGTCCTTCATGTCAGGGCTGCTCTTAGTAAAATGCATTAAAACACATTCACTTATTATTTTTATTTTAAATTGGGCATCTTTTAAGTATTTTATGTATATTTATATTTTTCTATTTTTCTCTCTCTAAACCCCTTAAAAGGTCAGGGCCCAAAGTTTAATCACACACTTCTATAATCTAAGAATAGCTTAGTTAGTTTGCATTGAAGTCCCTATATTAACTGGACAGTAAGCCATAGTATGTAATAAGCCTGAGATTTTAAGAGGTTAATAGCGCAACATTATAAAATAGTTATTAAATTCACTCTGAAACCTACCCTGCGTCTTTATTCGTGAACGTTTTTGCGTTTCTGGCCGTTGGACCACCACAAACAAGGCACTTTAACTCCCCGGAACAGAAAGCTTGGGCTCCACTGCTGTATATACATCACTACTCTTGCAAAGAAATCCATGCTGGAGATTCACGGCATATATAATCAGGTTTTCTTGATGGCTTATGAAAGACTTTTCTTGCAGAGTTTTATTTATAAATATGTTATAAAGCTATTTTCCTGTCTGTATTGTGTTTCTCTTTGTGTTTCAGGCCTAAGCTGACAGTAAGAAGGATCCGCTTTCCTCCTTTCTGCCCCCACATAACCCCCCTGCAGTGGAAGGGAAGAAATCAGCCTTGAAAAAAGCTCAGAAAGAGAGGAACTACATTCACTGCAGTGGTATAACCTGCTGGTGAGTAGATTATAAGGGTCCAGTGTGTTTTTATTTGTGTTGTTCCGTCTTCTTTGTGCAGAACATGCAAGCTGTTCCCTTCAAATGGTCTCATTTTTGGTGAAAGGCCATCGAGCGTGGTCTGTTTTACCTTTACGGCGCTGAGCGTCTTCATTAGGCTGTACAGTACGAGTGTATCTGTGATTTTTATCACAGTTATGACGGCCAAAATGCCTTTAATGCTCATCATTATCATCCAGACTACGGCTACTTGTAGCCAGCGCAGAAAAGGCCTACCTTCAGCTCAGCCTTCTAACACACGTGCTGCTGAAATCACTCAGAATTACTTTAGAAAACTCGCACAGAGCTAAAAGCAGCTGGCATGCGAAAGGGGAAATGAAATCCACGGACACGTAATGAGCAGTGAAATGAGTGGAATGAGCGAAACGGCGCGACGACTCTTTGTTCCTTTAAACGCAGAGCTGCCAGGCCGGGGGAGGCCGGGGGAGGCGGGGTCTCGGCGTGGTTGGCATCTCTGATAACCACTCAGATGGGCCCTCTGAAACTAGAGCGAGCGAAAGCCTGAGATAACCGTAATTAGAACTGACTCTTCGTGCCAGTGATCCATGCAGACTATTAGTGTTGTCACGAAACGCTGCAGATGCTACTGGGCATGCGCACTACCTCCCCTCAGCATCCTCGCGTGCTCGAGGAAGGTCAGCTCCTTTAGCTTTCGCTAAGCTAGCGCAGCGGCGTCACGGGGCCAGGGGCTCCGTCACGAGGTCGAAAGGTCTGAGGCAGGAGATGGGGGGTGGGTGGGTAGGTGGGCCGGGGGGTTGGTTGCAGTCCTGTTTTCCAAGTTTAAACCTCATGTTTGTGGGTTGATGTTTACAAAAAGCAGAGCAGAATAAAAACAAGCCAGCGAAACAGGATAAATTCAGCAGTTGCATATAGGGAAGGCCCCCCGGTTCAAGATGTCGGCCGCTGACCCCGAGCCAAAGTGCACAGGGATTACGCCGAAATGGCCGACAGCTTCTTGTAATCCGAAATCAGCCTGTCGTTTCTTGGCTTGGTCGGCTCTTCTGCGTAAACGTACGCTTTCAAAACTGCGACGTCACGCGATCGATATCTGTTTAATTCAGCATCGAGACCTGAGAACTGAATTTTTAGTTTCGGCGCTTTATCATGTTTCTCTGTCGTTTGTGACACCGTCAGATGATTTATAGCGATATTTATTATTTATTTATTATAAAACCTGTGAAAACTTTCTTCTCTGTATGCCGTTTTTTAAATAAACTGTTAGAATTATATATTTTTGTACGAATAAAAGTGAATTACGCGTGATTACGTGAATATATGAGACTTATTTATACTCACTACCAAATCAAACGGAACATATCTGGACATTTAATATTTATTATACAGTTAAAAAAGATGAGTTTATTAGTCATGACATAAATTAACACAAATTAGCTTGTTAATATTGTTCATACATTCTGCATTTTCTGTTATTCATCTTTCTATCTTTTTGTAGTTGTTTGCAGTTCATGAAGGTTATTTACGCTTTTTTGGTGCTGCTTGCAGAAACTTATTCTGGATATTTCTGTACTTTTGTGCTTATTCAAAAACATTTTCTGTATTTTTGAGCATGTTTATTTGAAGTAATAATCTGTAAATATAAATATTTTTGTGGAAATTATTTTAAAAATCTGTACTTTTGAGCACATTTATTATATGTACATAGTTGTGTGCATGTTAATTGTTAAAAATTCTGTTTTTAATGCACATGTATTTTTGAAATAGAACGTATTTGCATGCATATTTATTTTTCAAAAAAAAATCTGTATTTTTGTGCATGTTTATTTAAAGGAATTCAGAATTTTATGCAATTTTTAAAATCTCTATTTGCGTGTGCATTTATTTTTAAAAAATATTGTATTTTATGCACATTTACTTTTTAAAAAATCTGTTTTGGGTGCACGTTTATTTAAAAAAAATAGTATTTTAGTGCATGTTAATTTTTTTTAAAAATCTGAATTTTATACACCTGCAACACAGAAGGATGAGTGGTTTAGAAAGTGTGTGTGTGTGTTTGCGAATTTTATGCACTTATATTTTTTTAAAAATTCTACATTTTTGTGCACATTTCTTTTTAAAAATTCTGTATTTTTCTGCATGTTTCTTTCACTTTATTGCATTTTTGAGCTTCTGAAACAGATAAAATAGCCTGAAATGCTAAAGACGTTCATTCAGACAGCCGGCGAGGCTGAGAGCAGTTCAGTCTCTGTTTAAGTAGACGTGTCATGCCTGAATGCTGATGCAGGTATTTCACACGTCTGGTTATGATCTGTGACCTATGATCTGTGGTCTTGGTCTCACTGCACACTGCGATGCTGTGCATATTACTGTTAAACTTCTCGTTCTGTCAGATTGCGTTTACTGTTGTGTTGCTTACATACATTTCTGCACAAAGCTGTGGTGCTACACTGCGCACCGCACTGCAGTCTTATCCATCCTGAAGGTTTAAACAATGCAAGTTTATTTGTGTAGCACCTTTTATACACAGCGGCTATTCAAAGCACTTCACACAAACACAGAAAAGTAAAAAAAAACATTAATAATAAAAGAGTAAAAAGTGAAAGTTAAAGTCATTTGACAAGTGAATAAAAGTAAAAACTAAAAAAGTAAAAAGTAAAAATAAGTCATTTGAAAAGTGAATAAAAGTATATAATAAAAGTAGAAAATAAAAAAGTAAAAAGTACAAATAAGTTAGTCACTTGAAAAGTGAATAAAAGTATACAATAAAAGTGAACAAAAGTAAAAAATAAAAGAGTGAAAAAAGAAAGTAAGTTTGCAGAGAACACACTTCTGCACAAGTTAATACATTGCTGCCAATAAAAGTACTGTTTTTATGCTAAATTTAACATATTGGAGGAAACATAAGCCAAAAATTATAGCACATTTTATATTTTATGTCTTGTTTTTTGCTATATATTATATATATTATATGTTAAACTCAGCAAATAGATAGAAACTATGCACTGTATAATACTGCGCAAAAGCCTTGGGAAAAAGGGAAAATGATATATAAAAAAATGTTTATCTGGGTTATTTATCATAAAACACATATTAGTACAAATACTATACATACAGCTAATATTACTTAAGTATCCAGTACCTGTTTGGAGTAGTTAAGACCTATTTACAGTAAATGAGGCGTGCTGGTGATGCAATTTGATAAATAAATGCGAAGGATGGGGGCGTCGGCAGCCGGCTCACAAGAAATGAGCAACTTTTTCTTGGTACTTGGCTGTAGATAACATTCAGATATTACATTTAATTTAACAGTCTTCAAGCATATAGTTCTTGGGACTTTTATTCTTGACGTCACAAAAACGTCTCCATCTCAGGGTAATCCAGAAAAGTGGATTTAAAGTGTACTTGCACTTAATGTTATAATATGATAATACTGTTAAGATATGAGCAACTTATTCTTGATATTACAAGCAAGTCTACTCTTACTGCCCAGGTGCCTTTTGCATGGCGCTGTAGACAAAATTCAGATATTACATTTAATCTTCAAGCATATAGTTCTTAGGACTTTTATTCTTGACATCACAAGACTGTTCTTACAGTGGTATTTCAGAACAGATGAATTGTTACATGAGAAAGTGTTATTGGGTCATTCTCCTTTTGGAGGGGAAACCATGTTACGAAGGTTTCAGGGCTTAAAAAGAAGCTTGAAATATCAGACACAGCTCCAAAAGTCAGTATGTACATTTACACAGTTGAGCTCAGATTAAATAACACTTTTCTCCTATGATTCTCTGATTTTTCTTTTCTTTCCTGTTTCATAGTCGCTCTGCGTCTGTAAAACAGCTCGTCACAAAACCATTTTTATCGTAAAACAATATTTTTAAGAGGTTTAACTGAGGAATTTGTATAAACATGTTTATGTGTACTTTTAATATTATTAACTATACTATACTACATTAAAAAAAAATATATTTTCTTTAAAAATTAATTTGTCACGCTGGTTGTGGTCACTGGTGTCATCAGGACTCTTATTTTACATTTTAACACTGTGTTTCCAGCTCTATTAAACTGCTTCTTTGGGTCGAGGCTCATCAGAGAGGAAGTGTCTCGAGTCACACACGCTCACTATATTTCATTAATTTATTAATAATTCTGTTTATCAGGCTGCTCATAACTTCTATGTGTCACTGCTGTTTTGCACTTTAATGGCTGGGTGATTAAAATTTAGTCAAAATAATGCCAAATATATCATTTTTATCACTGATTTTAAATACACAAGGTCACCTGATCAACCAATGAGTCAGCCAGTTTAAAGAATCCTCAGTTTTACCCAGAATGTCACTGGTGTTACACCACATTCATACAACACCAGTGACTGTATCGTATGTTTCAATTCAGCTCTCCTTTCTGCATATATAGTAATAGGAGATGTTAATGGACATATTAGAATTATTTAGTTTTCGGATGAAAGAAATTTAGTTTTTAGAAATGTATCCACCTGAATTCCCACTCCAAATGGAGAACGACCCTACTGAGGAATTCTAGGCTGTTTTAAAGTCCTGTTTTGGCTCAGAGCTGTCGCTCTTAGAGCGTCTAATCTAACGTAAATTCCTCTGATGCCATGTGCCGGTACAGGATAGACCTGCTCCTTCCAGAGTAATGCTGTTATATAAGTGAAAGTGCTGTTACTTCAGAGAAACTCTGCTCCACTAGGCGTATCACTACTAGACTGCGAATAGGCAAAAGCTACACAAGTTGACGTTGTCGCTGATCACCTACATTACAGAAGGTCACTTATAACCCTTTGGGGAGGGACTGGTAGAGATTTTAGACGTGAAGCAGCGCGACCGTGGCCAGTATTGAGCGATCAGTGTATGTAAATAAGTCATAAATTGCAATGGAAGATAGAAATAGAGGAAAACACAATACTTACACTAAAGAATTCTCAAATATTTACATTTAAACACACAAAAATGTCTCCTTTC